CTGCTTTTCCATTTCTCCTGATTGGATCACTTGTACCCTGCTAGTCCCCTCTCCATTGCTTCTCAGCCCACTATCCTGGCAATGGCCCTCAAAACTGATATAGTCATGAAGCATGCATCTCTTACCGTGATCTTTGTAGTGGTCGAGTTAATTCTGAGGATTATCTGGTGGCCAGAGTACATTTCCACACCCTGTATTGACTTAAAGACAGGAGGGCTCCTCACTGGGTCCAATAGTTTGCTAATCACAAACTGCTATGGAATGCAGGTGTTTTCTCAGTTAATATGGCAGTCATTCAACCTCTTCTAGGTCTCCTTCAAGTGAGAGACAGAGATAAGACTCCTATTTACAGCACTCTCATTTAGGGCCTTTCCATGATTTGTTCCGTATAATGCCCTAAGCAAATTATATACAGCAGGAAGCCAGTGCAGCTAAATGAATATAGGGGAAAAAAGAAATCTGATGCAAAAACTTTATGAATTTTGGAGAAAACATTGCATTTTGTTATTTTCTGAATACTTTACAGTTCCTTTTTTTCTTCTTTATGGCCTCCCTTTGTGATCTGTTGATTTGTTTTTTAATATTTATTTATCTGTTGTTGGCAGTGGTAATATGTCTTGATTTCTTTCTCTTTGTGTTTTCAGTTTGTCCCAGACACTTAATCTTTGTGGTTATGATGAGATTTATTTAAAGCCTACACAGAGAAACCCTGTCTTTAAAAAAAAAAATGCCCTGGTATGTAAGGAGGGATCTTACTAGGTACCTGTGGCATTGACCATGCTCATTTGGATACAGGCCTGAGGAGAGGCAGGCTCAGGTCTCTTGAGGTTCCAGTCAGTTCTCAGAAAGCAGCTGAGACTGGATGCTAGGAGCACTGACCCTGGGTTATTAGTTTCTCATGTAAGTGATTTCTCTTCAATAAAATTAACCTAAGACACCCCTATCCCATGTATGGTAGTCTTTCTCTTACACTGTAAGTCAAATTCCAGATGGAAATAAGCCTGGTATTAGAGGGGAAATCAGCTGACAGTTAGACATCTGTGCAGGATTCTGGAACAGTTAAAGTAAGGAACCAATTGCTTAGTCCTGAAGTCTGCCTCCCAGGCTCTCAGACTCCATCTCCAAGTTTGGTTGAGAAATTGGAAGACAATTGATAGAAAGAAAAAGACATTACTTCCCTTTTCCACAGCAACTAGAATCTAAGTTACTGTGATAAGTGAAGGAAGGTGACAGAAAAACAAACAAACAAACAAAAAACCCCAAACATAAATGGCTGAAAACAACAAAATATTTTTGGTTGTGAGCCTAGCCTTTAACGGCTGAGCCATCTCTCCAGCCCAAAAACAACAAAATAAAACTGGAATTCTATTGAACACATTTCCATTGGCCCAACCATATGTACCTCAATCACCTTCCTCACTGAACCAGAAGTCAGAAATTAACAAAATCAAATCCCAAATAACATTCTTTTATCCACTCTTTTTCTATGCACAGTATTTCCATTTAAAAATATTTTATTATCATTGTGTCTATGTGAGTGTCTGGGTGTGAGTACACACATGCCATGACCAGTGTATGGAGGCCAGAGGACAACTGGTGGGGGACAGTTTTCTCTTTCCACCATGGGATTCAAGGTTCAAACTCAGGTCCTCAGCTTCATGGTAAACACTTTTACCCATCTGGGCCATCTTGCCATCCCTATATACAGTATTTAGAATGCAATAGAAAATGTGGTTTCTGAGGTAGTAGAAAATGAAAAAAAATACAACAACAATAAGAAAAAAAACATGGCTGAAACATATTCACTGTGACCAACATTTTGGAAATTTTATTTAGTCCTTATTAGCATGTATTAATTATGGAGCCAATGGTTCCATTAGACCATTTCTGTACATCATGCAATATGTACTAGTCTCTACCCCCAACGGAAACCACAGAAGGCTTTTGAAAACTATGGTAATTATTAGCACATATGTTTGTTAGGATTTTGTTGTCGTCATTGTTGTTGTTGTTGTTAACTTGACAGAAGTTAGAGTCATCTGAGAAGAGGAAACCTCAGCCGAGAAAATGCTCCCATCAGACTGGCCTATGGGGCATCTTATTGATTGATGACTGATGTGGAAGGAGCTAGCTTACTGTGGGAGGTACTATCCCTGGGCAGATGGTCCTAGGGGATTCAAGAAAGCTAACCAAACAAGCCATGGAGAACAAGCCGGTAGTTCCTGCCTCTGCCTGCCTGCCTTAGCACCCTTCAGTGATGGACTGTGATTGAGATGTATAAGCCAAACAGATGCATTGCTCCTCGAGTTGCTTTTGGACACGGTGTTTTATCATAGCAACAGAAAGCAAATCAGGACAGCACACATTAGTTGCCTGTGCTAATAGATCTCACCGTGGAACCACTGAAGGGCTTTACCCAGGCAAATTCATGATCAGGTTTTGATTCTATAAAGACTATTTCAATTATTGAATGAAGGACGGATGGTAATTATCGAAATATGATGCATGAGACCAGGTAGAAGGTCAATGAATTCAGTGACAGATGGTGATGACTTGAGGGGACTGAGGGCAGTAGTGGAGCTGCAGAAGAGTATGGGTGTGAACTATATGCCGGAGGTAAAACTGGTAAGGCTCAATGTGAGCAGGCAGAGGGAAAGGAGCTACCTGTTTCACAGAAGGTACTGTTGTGGAAGGGGCAGGAGGCCATTAGGAGATCAAAAGAAGACTTGCCTTCCCTATGGCTTGTGATTCACCAAAAGGTGAATCAATTCCAAGCAGTAGAGGCGGTCCAGAAACAGTGTCCACAGAGAACCCAGAATTTTACTAACTCAGAGATGGAAGGGTCAAAGGAATATATCCAGTGGAGTTGGGATTCTGGAGGGCACAGTGGAAGGGTTGAAATGGAGGCAAAGGTGATTGGTTGGAGGAGAAAAGGTCAGAAGCCTCGTGGACCATGGGTAAGCAAATCTGGCTGTGCTTCTGGATGGAACATGTTCTTTAGGAGTGTCCTCATAGCATTGTGATCATGGGATCAGTTCCCTTAGGTGCCTCTGAACTCATGCCTTCTACTCACTATTTGCTGATTTTCTGTGCTGTAGATATTTCATGAGTCTTTCACAGATATGAACCTATGCCATGTTATAAGGTTCATGAAGTCTGAAAATGAGAGCCTGCTGGGAAGTAGTGGTACACACCTTTAATCCCAGCACTTGGGAGGATCTCTGTGAGTTCAAGGCCAGCCTGGTCTACAGAGTGAGTTCCAGGACAGGCTCCAAAACTACAGAGAAACCCTATCTTGAAAAACCAAAGGAAAGAAGAAAGAAAGAAAAAAAGAAAATAAGAGCCCATTGAAGTGGTTGGGTGGTCAGTCTATCTGTGGGTCTATCTATCTATCTATCTATCTATCTATCTATCTATCTATCTATCTGTCATCTATCCACCTTAGTGTTTCTATTGCTGTGAAGAGACACCATTATCATGGCAACTCTTATGCAGGAAAAACATTTAATTGGGGTGGCTTACATTTTCAGCATGGTACTGGAGTAGTAGCCGAGTGTCCTATATCTTGACTTTCAGACACTAAAAAGTGGTTTGAGACACTGGGTGGTATCTTGAGCATATATGAGACCTCAAAGCCCACCTTCACAGAGACACACTTACTCCAACAAGACCACACCTCCTAATAGTGCCACTCCCTTTGGGGACTATTTTCTTTCAAAGCACCATCATCTATATACATCTAATATGGTGGCTAAAACAGGGTAAAGTGACAGCAACTTTATTTATTTATTTATTTATTTATTTATTTATTTATTTATTTATTTATTTATGTCAAACCTACAATGTTGTGCATCTAAGATAAGGGCTCTAACCCTGAGCTACAGTGCCAGACCCAGGATAGTGATGGAAGAGTCAGTTTCTGGTGCTGGCTCTTTGTTCTCTAGCTGAAGGTATTTCACCTCTGTTTTAAAGGTTTGTTATATGGGCTTACTGGTCCCTTCCATGTACAGTTCACAAGGATTTTTCATGTAAATTACTTCATTTGCTCTCAAAAGTCTCTGGGACAGGTAGATAGATCAATGATGTACAACCTGCTCTATGGATGAGAATACTGTTGTTTACAGATGAAGTGCCCCATTAAAAGCTCAAAAAGCTGGCATGTAGAGTATAGGTCAGTGCTCAGATTTACTCCTTAGGGGTCTTCACACAGCACCATACAGCTTTTGTTAACACACCTTGGAAGCTGCTAAGCCCTGTTGACCCTCAGCCCTCCAGGAAAAGGTTTTTATCACACTTCTTATGCCTATCTCACATTGCCCAGCAAGTGTCTAAGCACACAGCCATGCTCAGTAGGAGGCTATGGCTCATTGTTCTCTGGAATCATGTTGGTGGTACTATGGGGTTATTCTGCCCTCTTTGGGGAGCTCTTATTTTCTAAAATGCTTGCAGCCAAGCTTTAGAATCATGTCAGGCCAGTCTTCAACTTCCACACACAGGAGTCAGTTTGCACATTGTGCTGCTGCCATTGATGATTTATGTGAACTTGGTAAAGCTGTTTATTCCAGTTACAATTCAGAGTACTTGTTTTTCAAAGGGGGACAATTCCCACCTGAGTTTTGAATGTGTAAGAGTGAAAACAACCATCTCCAACACTGCTAGTGAGTGACATGAGACTTACAGCTTTGTAAATATACTAAGCATTTGCTAAGTGGGTGTACTCTGAAAACATAAAGACATCTACACAGAATCCCAAGAGGGATTGGGTTGGTAGCTCCAAAGTAGCAGTGTAAATTGCATTGGCCGCCAGCACGCATTTGTTAGTGATGAGATGTTGTATTCAAAGTCAGCTCTTGTATTTATTGGGCTGCTCAGTGGAGCAAGCAGATGTTCTTGTTCTAAAAGGTTCACTAGCCATGCAAATCCTCATGTCTCAAAAGCTACACCTACAGTGACGCTGCCTTGCCTCTCAGCTGACTCTTCACTCGCTAACTGGTCTGGCCATGAGGAGCCTACAGTTGATCCTTGTGGTCTTTGTCTTACTCTCCTATGTCCCACCAGGTAAAATGAATTGCTTTTCTTATGGGATTACAGTGTGAGGTTCTGTAAGACTGAGATAAAGGCATTGCGGAGAGAACAGTAGAAACAGGGAGGGCTATGGGCAGAGATAAATGATGTGAGTAGTTGCAAGGAATAAAGAGGCCATCCCAAGGACACTAACAAGAGACGGCTGTCTCCAGAGAACACACTGATTCTGAAATTGGGTCTTGAGCATCTGTGAAACTTGTGGGCAGGCTGGTCCGATGTTGGCAGGAATGGGGCAGAGTGCAGTGATGAGTCTCTAAGAGCACAGATAGGACATGGGGTGGAACTGAATCTGTTCCTCAGGACTCTTGGGGCTTGCCCCCCTCCATGGTTGGCTGTGGATGCACTTTTTCATTTATTTACAAATCAAGACAAATGTTACAGTGAGAAGAATCTGAAACCTAAGCTAGTTGTCAGTGTGTATTAAATTACTTCATAGCACAGTGGGATTCCATGGGGGCATCAGAATGAGTAGCCAAACTCTATGCTCTGGACAAAACAGAGTAATGTAAGAAGTGGGGACTTGTGATTTTCTTGGGGGGGGTTGTTCTGAAAATTCCTTCCTCCTACCTTAAACCCTCATATTCAAAAGCTGACACTTAAGGGCCAAGTGTGAAACATTCAAACAACAGGTACTAGGGAACATACTGAGATAGTTGCAGCTCTGTGAGTGGCAGAATCTCTGGATACTGTACCGCATCTCCTCCTGATTCCTCTGTCCCCAGAGGGGTGCTTCAGGGCTAGTGAGTAAAAAGCAGGCAAGTTATCAGTAGCTTATCAGTAGCATTGGATCATACACTATTGGTTATTTTCACACACTGACTCTTTCTGCTGATCAAAGCCTAGTCCATGGTTCTATGCTGCCAGCTAGTGGAGAGACCAAGGCTTAACTGGGCTACACCCATTCCCATGAACTGTCCCCTACCTCCCATCTATACTCCTTGGCTTCCAGGGGTACCTAAGTGTTAACATTAGGTATGGGGCACTTAACAAAAAAGTCCTCTTGAAAATGATTGGACTTATTGGGATGGAATCGAGGGCTTCTGAATACTAGGCCATTGGTCTTCCTTTCTACAGACTGAAGTTTTGGCAACCAAAAGCTACCTGGGGGATGCTCACGTCTCCTGGTATGGAGTCTCTGCAGACACCTGGAACTTCTTTTTTGTCTGATCTTTCCATGTAGAAAATAGCAGCAAGCTGAGCCTACTGAGCTGTCCTATGCATATAAATGACCAGTGGTTCATGTAATTTTGGACCATGGGAGCTAATGGCTCATAATAGGGCCCCTGAGGGGTGAAGCCAAGATAACTAGGAGGAGTATGGAGCCAAAGATATGATGATTAGGTAGAGTTTCTTATTAAAATTTATGAAGTGCCTGAAGTCTAATTTATCCATGACACTAGAGGACAATAACTGTCCATTAACCTTTTTTTTTTCCTGTTTGCAGTTAGAAGTGGACTGAATATTTATATAAAACGTATGTTCGATTCATGCTGGCTATTAAAAGGCACTTGCAGGGAAAGCTGTCAACCACGTGAAATATTTAACATTTTTTGTGGTACACAATACCTATGCTGCATAGACCCAGAGGACATGCCCACTCTGTTTGTGAAGTAATTGTGAGTATTTGGGCTCTCCCACTGGCTTTCTTGGGGATTCTGAGATGTGTATTGCACTATTAAAATGATAGCTTTAGGCTGTTAGTATTTCTGTAGGCTGTGTTTCTTGCTTGCTTTCCTTCAGGAAATACGTTAAACTAAATTCTTTGTCACCAGTATTTTTATTGTTACCCCACAAGGGGCATTTTCTAAGGTGCTTCTAAAGGGCATGCCCCAGCACTTGTGGAATTATCCAATAGTTACTTCTTTAAAACACTTTTGTGGGGCTGCAGACAGAGCTCAGGGTCTCAGCCATGCTATACAAGGGCTCTACAACTGAACTAGATCAGCCCCAGGGGTCCTTCTACAGGTCTGGTTTCTACACTGAAACGCTTTTGTGAATGTATTCCATTGTATCGTGTGACTGTGCTCATCACTCTCAATGGTTTGTAGTACTGTGTTGGAGAAACATACCTGTGACTATTCTTGTGCAGTTAAATGATTGTATCCATAGTTTCCAGTTTGGGAGTTTTTATAAATAGTGTTTTGACAAATGTTTCTTTCTACCTTTTTTATAGGTCACATTCTGTCTTAGTAGATCCACGGGTAGTTGCAGACCCAGAAATCTCACCTCGGTCTCTCTAATTATGCTGATTTACATTCTCACCTAATGTGGTCACTTCTTATTCTGGATCCCAGCTGGTGTTTTCTATCTCCAGTCCCTCTTGGGAATATTCATACTAATAATGCATAGTAACTGAATTGTATTTCACCTAGAATAATAAATGTTTACCGATTGGTCAGATGTCCTTGTTTGTGACTGGAGTACAGCTGGAAGTTAGAGCTCTTGCCTATGTATCCTTATTCATGATGTGTTTATTCAAGCTTTAATGTAGAAAAAAGGAAAATAAAAGTCACATGGAAAATACCTAAATTGAAGTGTTGAGTGTGTTGCAGTTTATAATACCCTTGGGGATTTTCTATTGCTTAGTGTGACTACACCATTTAAACGTTTCTGGGTGGGGTGTATCTCAGTTTGCAGAATGCTTTCCTTGTATGCATGAAGCCTTGAGTTCATTTCCCCAGCCTCTGCTTTCAGGGCCTGAATTATAGGCATGCACCTCCACACTTGGCTTCCGGATTTTCTATCCATCATGAAAAGTGGGGCACCGAAGGCATTTTACTAATATTGTGTGTCCAGGACCAAAAATGTCCATTATGATATTTTGGATGTAGGCCTCAATCCCAGGAGCTTGAATCTCACATTATCTTTTAGATGTTGGCCGGTTACCACCAGATGGCTTGGCCTCAGTGGAGGATGTCTCCTAGTTTGTATAACGGTAGACCTAAGCCCTGGGTGAACCCACATCCATCCTGAGGCTGGGGAGACATGCCTGGTAGAATGTTTGAGGGATTGTATATGTGCCTAGGGACTGGTGAGAGGCTGGTGAGGATGTGCAGTTTTAGGGTTGTCTCTGGGATTAAAGAAGATATTTGATATCAGCTTTATACATGATAATAGATGTCTTCTGCTATCACCCCCATGATTGGAAAGCTATTTAAGAGGATGCTTGAATAAAGCGTGGACTCCAGTCTCGAGGATGGACTGAGAGCCCTTCTGAGATGACAAGATGTATCTGTCTCGTCCTTAATGCCGTGGGGTAGCTAGGAGTTTCCTGATCCACACTCTCCCACTCAGGGATGGACCTGGGACTGTTCAGATGGTTCCAATTGCAGCCCCAAATACATCAATCCAGAATAGATGGCCTCTGCAGTGTAGGACTGATATAGGCTGAACCCCAGCAAAACGGCACTGAAATGTGGGACCTGAGAACGGAGGAAGAAATGATGGACACCACAGAGAAATAGATACTGCGGATGTACCAGTCTGAGAAGAAGCGCATGCAGGAAAAAAAGAAAAAAAAGAAGTCAAATGCGGTGAGTGAACGGTGTTAAGTTAGGAGTAAAACTGTATATAATTGTAGAAATAGGAAACAGATAGTTGTAATATAAAACAGGAAGATATTAGTCAGTTGACAAAGAAGTAAAGTGGGTTAGTTAACCCTAAGAATGAAAATGTACACAATGTAGATATGAGACATTGAAATGTCAGTCAGATGATAAAGAAGTAAAATGTAATGAGTTAGACTCCAGAGTAAAAAAAAAAAATGCAGATAATTGTAGATGTGAAACAGAGGAATATTAGCCAGATGATAAAGAGAAGTAAGTTAACCTTGAGAGTAAAAATGTATATAGAGATATGAAACAGAGAATTATTAGGCAGATGATTGTCTATTTACTTGGATATATTTTAGTAGCCAGGAGAGCTGAAGTAAAGCAGGAACAGAAGATTTTAGAGTTTAAGAGTTTTGAAAGGATCCTTCCCTCTCACAGAAGCCACTATTGCAACTGTATCAGAGTTGGCGAAATGAAGGTGCAACCGCTCATACGTGCAAGACAGCAGGAAATATCTGCCCCTAAACTGGTTAGGAATGTAATGGAGAACAAAAACCTCCTTGCCTACTAAGGAGCAGCTGGATGAGAAAGAATATACAGGGCAGAATGATTCGAATGAATATGAAGAGAGAGTTGCTAAGTATCTGGATAGGAAGTTTTCACCTCCCTCATTTTTAACTGGGAATGCAGAGAGACAAAAACCTGATGGTAAAATTCAGCAGGAGCTAAGAGACTTGAAAGATTTAGCAGAATCGCACTCTCAGGAGATAAGAAATTTGCAGGTTTCCTCAGATCAGAGAAATGATCTTTTGTCTATGATAGCAGCAAACATAGATCAGCCTAAGGCACCCCCAGTCAGGATAGACAGTCACAGCAGGTCAGAAATCTCCAATACAAGCTAGTATTAGAGAAGCGGCCAATAGAAAAAGATGCTCAGGGATTTCAGACATTTCCTGTATCAGAGCATAGGGATACTCAGAGAAACATAAGCAGGATGCATGTGCCAATACCATTTAAGCAGCTCAAGGAACTAAAAATAAAAATGGCTTATGTTCAGTATAGACCAAGAGCGGTTTTCACCCAGATGCTAATAGAGAATATTGCTGTAGAAGCCTTACCCCCAGGAGATTGGAAGCAGATTGGCAAGGCCTGCCTGTCAGGGGGAGATTATTTGTTGTGGAAAGCAAAATTTGCAGAGCAATGTCAGATCACAGCTGAAAAAGATGGAGCCCATACCTTCCAGTCTCTTATGAAATGCTCACTGAGAAAGGACTATACAAAGATACAGATCAGAAGTTAGGTTTTGAGATAGCAGTGTATACACAGATTGGTGCAGCTGCCAAGAGAACTTGGAACAAGCTTCCAGCTGCTAGGACACAGACCAAAGGTTTTGTAAAGAGCAGGCAGGGACCTAGGGAGTTATTTCAGAATTTTGTCTCTAGGCCAATACAGACATTATCCAGAAAAGTAGGAGATACAAGTGTTGAACTTTTGATTATGAAGCAACTAGCTTATGAGAATACTAATATAGCATGCCAGGTCCATACACCCCACTCAGAATTGGGCCCTGGGCTGTATGGCTGGCTCCGTTCACAGCCCCGAAGACATCCGTCTGGAAAAATTGTATTGCCATCAACTTCTTTCAGATCTGTCAATTTTTGCTTTGCATATTTAGGTTCTTAGGCATGAGGATCACATATGCTTTTCAAATTAAAAAAAAATTAGAATGAACTTGCAATTTTTTCCTGATAAGCTTCCTGACTCTTCCTGGCTCTTCTCAGAACAGTATCTACTTGACTGTCCTGTAGATATATCTCATAATTCATCTTTACATTTTTATATTTTTTTCCTTTTCTATTTTCAGACTGGTTGATTGTCGGTCCACACTGGCTGATGGTTTCTTCTGCTTGACCTTTGTCTGATGTTAAAACCTCCTCCCTGAAGATTTCAACTCAGTTACTATATTATTCAGCTATGAAATCTCTGTTTTGGTGCTGTGTGACTTTTATGAATCCCTTTATGTGTGGTAGACTCCATTTATTAAGGAAGCATGACATTCTGCAGAGAGAGAGAGAGAGAGAGAGAGAGAGAGAGAGAGAGAGAGAGAGGGTTCTTTGCTTCATTGAGTATATAAAACAAAAGGTGGGGCAGGGAGAAAGTCAGGCTTCCCTTTCTCTGCACCACCATGCGAGCAGGAATATGGTATGTCTTCATGTCACCATGGACACATGTCTTATCACTCACAACAGGGACCATACAACTGCATACCATTGCCACTTCAATACCAACGGGAAAGGCAGCCACCATGGGATTGCCCTCATGATTGCTTTACCCTCCAACAGATCAGCCTTAGTTAGATGCCTTCTCAGTCATGGCAGGGACCGTGCAACTCTGCGTTTGTCTGTCCACGTCCAGGCTCTAACTGAAGAATAAAAGGGCTCTTTGCTCAGCAAAGGTGGTTCAGTCCTTAGAGACGAATCCACCCTGCAGCTGGAAAAGGCTAAACATTCATCCTTGAGGTGTCTATGTACTTCGTTCCACAGACCCTCGTGAATACCCACGCCTGGTACACAGCATCATCTTTGCTTTTTGTCCGTCGCTGTTCAGGCTCAAACTGTACTGTGGGACATTTTCTAGGGATATTCGAATAGGTATCTGTTTTCCTCCAGAGAGGGCACCAAAGACACAGCCAAGAGATGATGTACACAAGTTTGTCTTGACAAAACAATGAGTTTATAAGAGTTACTAAAGCGGGAGGGGGGAGCAGGGAGGAACACAATGATAGACCCTCAGGCAGGAGCATCACTGAGAAACTCATTCCAAGATGGTTGGTTGTTGGGAGCCAAAGATCTCAGGGGTTGGCATGAGATCCTAGGCCATGCTTGGCTGGCTACATAGTTGTATATTAACCTGTACATAGAAGCTCCTTAGAACCTCAACTCAAGAAAAGAAACAACTTGACCCAGTCCTCCACCCATAGGCTCAGTCATCGAGGCCACCCTTCCTGGACTTGTAACCTTGTAACCTTGCTGAGCTTATTTTTTGTTTTTGTTTCGTTTTTTGAGACAGGCTCTCTCTCTGTAGCCCTGGCTGTCCTAGAACTCGCTTTATAGAGCAGGCCAGCCTCAAACTCAAGAGATCTGTCCCCCTGAGTACTGGGATTAAAGTTGTGCACCACCACCACCAGGCGTGAACTCATTTCTTAGTTTTTATAGTTGTTTTTAATAGATGTCTTGAGATTGTCTATGTGACTAATCACACACCTTAGACAAGAAGTTTTTCTTTGTATTTAATTGATGGTCTTTGACTTCTCCTCCTCATCACACTGACTAGTAATTTTCTCCCAGTAAGACACTGAGCAAGAATTTTGAGACCAGGTATTTTCTTCTTCGTTTTTAATTTTTTTCCTTTTTTTGTATTTATGTGTATGAGATTTTTGCCTACAGGTATGTCTATGCACTATGTGTGTCAGTGCCTAAAGAGGCCAGGAGAGGGCATCAGATACCCTGGAACTCAAGTTACAGATAGTTGTGAGTCACCATGTGGGTGCTGGGAATAAAACTCTAGTCCTCTGGAAGAGCAGCCAGTGCTCTTAACCTCTGAGCCATCTCTGGAGAGATGCCCCTTTGCCTTCTTTTTGATTCTTGTGGCAATACAGTATTTCACCACTACATATGTTATCTGCAGTTTTTGTTTGTTGCTATTGTTTGTTTGTTTTAAAATTACATTGAGGAAGCTGCCTTTTTTGCCTAGTTTCTAAGATTTCTCAGCCTGAGTTATTTATATACTTATTTCTGTTAAACAGAGTTTGTCACTCACAAGTGGCACATGTACTATGCACTGCCAAATGTGGAGCTCCACCCAGATGCCATCCCTTACCCATCTGTAATTTATGTTGAAAAGAACAGGAAGGGATGGACCTTGGAGTAACTTGGGGAGATGACATCTGAAGTTTAAATTCCTTGAGATGTAAGTCATATGGTGATAAGCACATTATTTCCATAAAGAATTAGATAGCAGGAATGATATTTCTTCATGTCTATAATATATTACTGTCACATTATTTGTGTGTGTGTGTGTGTGTGTGTGAGTGAGTGAGTGTGAGTGCACGAAAATGCATGCGCCAAGCACCATGGTACATGTGTGGAGGTCAGAACAACTTGTGAGAGTTGACTCTTTCCTTTATTTTTTAAGATTTATTTTTATTGGGGGCAGGGGAAGGAGTCACAGGCTCTCCTGGAGCTGCAGTTCCAGGCAGTTGTAAATCATCTGATGGAGCTGAGGTCCTGGGAAAGAACAGCAAGAGCTCTTAACCACTGAGCTGCCTCTCCAGCCCCCATCTCTCTTCTTTCACTATAATGGATGGAACTCACGTCATCTGGTTTGGCACAAGCACCTTTATCTACTGAGCCGTCTTCCTGGCCCTATTGATGTCACTCATATCTTTCATCGTGTGTAGTGACAATCACTAATGTCTAAATTGTTGCTTCCGAGGTTTCTTTGTCCTTGGAAATCATGCTTATATATTTTTTTTATGACTCAGATATGACCTGTTCCCCAAAGGCCATCTGTTGAAAGCTTAGTCTTCAACACAAAAGTTTTAGAGGAAGAATTAGATGTAGAGGACTCTGACTTCATTAGCCCAACAAATGCTCCTGTGTTGATGGGCTTTAAGAGAAGTGAGGGAAACTTTGGAGATAGGCCCCAGCTGAAGGGAAGTAGTCCTGACTGAGCATGAGCCAAGGACTAGGTACTGCACCCCCGCCCCCCTTCTCACAAACTCATCTCCATACTGCAAGGTTGGCAGCTTTGCTCTGTCACATGCTCCCTGCTCTGGTGTTCTGCCTGGTCCTGTTCCAGAAGCAAGGATCCACACAACCGTAGACTGAAATCTCTTCAGTGTGTGCCAAAATAAAGATCCCTCCTATTTAAGTGGCATTTCTCGGGGATTTTGCCACAGCAATGAAAACTAATATATTAATACAGGCATCTTCTATGTTTAACTACATCTGAGAACCAGTGACTGAATGTTTTCTAGATTAGAAAGACATTTAGAACTGGAAAGGACAACTTACCCACGAGTTTGCATAGAATCATCCTTCCTTGTTAGTCCTCTAATTGAGGACTCCAGACTAAAAATGAAGCTGCATTAAGGGCTTACTAGTTTTAGAGTCAGCAAGTAGAGCTGTTAAGCTTCCATGAAAGACCACTGAGCTAACACAAAATCATGACATTTATGTGGTTCAAGCAATTTCCAGCCCAATTTCTTTAACTATAACTCACTTGGAAGCCTAGGGCTAAAATAGGCAAAGGTTGGATCATTGTCTTGGCTAAATAACAATAACGTTGGACAACCTTGAGTGAGAAAACATCCCCAGGGAAACACCACATCCATGCCCACCCCCCCCCAGAGTCACCCTAGTAGTCAATATAGGAATTTAAATGACATTTGAAGGTAGGAAGCTTGCTATAAACTATCTGAGACCATCTGCCTTTGGGCTAGAAAACTTGCATAATGGAATTTGGAAAAGCAGAGAGGAGTGAAATGAGTTTGTGAACACGGAGAGGGGGAGAACAGCTAAAGGTCAGATTGAAATCTATTCTGATGAAGGAGTAACATTGTCCCAGGAGGTTGAACACAGTGACATAACCCTATGATATATATATATATATATATCATTAAATATATTATATTAATATATATTAGATTAATATATATTAAACTCCCCAACTCTAAAAGCATCCAATAAATATATATAAGCAAATGAGTTAAATATATAGTCATCAAAAAGAAATCCAAGGGGCTGGAGAGATGGCTCAGAGGTTAAGAGCACTGGCTGCTCTTCCAGAGGTCCTGAGTTCAATTCCCAGCAACCACATGGTGGCTCACAACCATCCGTAATGAGATCTGGTGCCCTCTTCTGGTGTGCGAGTATACATGGAAGCGGAATGTTGTATACATAATAAATAAATAATATCTTAAAAAAAAGAAATCCAAATGACCAATACAATTCTGAAAAGTGTTCAGTCTTTTTATCTGTCAGGAAAATGTAAAATCAAAACTACACTCCAGGGGCTAAAGAGATGGTCCATCCACTACCTGCACTTCTCTTGCAGAGGACCCTGGTTTGACTCAGCATCCTCTGCTTCTCACTACTGTAATTATGGTTCTGTAGAGCAGGGCTCCCTCTTCTGGTCCCCCACCCCCACCCCGCTCCTGCACCTAAAAGGTGCACATAAACTTCAGCAAGCACAACACACATTCACCATTAACATCAATAACAATAATAAACTCTTTTAAAAATTATCAAAAAGTCTCCAGATCCCATCTCACTCGTGTCTGGGTGGCTATCATCAAGCAGTCGCGCAGCAGTGAGGGTGGGGCCGCGTAAGCCGGTCACAGCTGTGCTCCTGGACCATGGGAGGAGGAGGCTCCCGGCTTCCAGGGCGATGGCCAGGCTGCAGGCGCTGATACAGGGGGTTCTGAGAGCGCTGTTGTGGCGGGCACTACAGGCACTGCTCTGCCGGCACCGTGCGCTCATCTCTGCGCCGCGCGTGCGTCCGAGCACCTGGAGCTGGATCTGGTGGCTGCCCAAGCCTCTGGCGAACCGTGGGAACCCTCGTCGCAGTCCGGACCCGCACCTGCACCCGCATTCGCACGGATACCCGCACGGGGACCCCGCGCTGGGAGCCATGCATCCCGGGCTGCGCTGGCACTTGGACGGACGGACCCTGCATAAGCTGCCTGTGCACCTGGGCCTGCTGATCACCGAGCTGGAGCACAGCTTCTCGGACGTGGCGAGCATCGTGGTGTGGTGCGTGGCCGTAGGGATCTCCTACGTTAGCGTCTACGACCACCAAGGTATTTTCAAGAGAAACAATTCCAGACTGATGGAGGAAATTTTAAAACGACAAGAACTTTTGGGCTTAGATTGTTCCAGATACTCAGTAGAGTTGGCAGAGAGTAATGACAAAGACGGTTTAGTTTTAAATTGCGGGTCGGCAGTGCAGGTGCTGTCCCCAGAAGACGGAAAAGCAGGCATTGTGCGAGCGGCCCAGGACTTCTGCCAGCTGGTGGCGCAGCAGCAACGGAGAGCCACGGATCTCAACGTGGATGTGTTTGATGACTTGCTTCGTTCCCAAGGCTTCCCGGATCCGGATTTAGTACTGAAGTTTGGTTCTGTGGACAGCACATTAGGCTTTCCACCCTGGCAAATCAGACTGACTGAAATAATCTCCTTGCCTTCTCACCTGAACCTCAATTACGAGGACTTCTTCTCCGCTCTTTGTCTGTATGCCGCGAGTGAACCGCGTCTGGGAAAGTAGTGATTCAGGCTTTTGGAACAAAGGATCCGAGCGACTCTAATATTTACAAAGTACCTCTAAAACCCTGTGCACACCTAGTTCATATTCCTCATAATTTATCAGCAGACACAAAAAGTGTCTTACTCGAGAGTGCGTGCGTGCGTGCGTGCGTGCGTGCGTGCGTGTGTGTGTGTGTATGTGTGTTTGGGAAGAAACAGGGAATGGAGTACTACAGGATGTGAGCCTTCAGATTTAAAGGACTCAGCCCGTACAACTTTCCTGACTTTGTGAAGTACAGGGAATGATTAGAACTGGTTGTTTAGAGTGGGGTGAGGGTAAATTTTGTTCAGCTTATCCTAGTGACCAAGCTTTAATTTTTAAGAATAATATATTGGCTGACTAGATGGGAGTATCCTCATTTTGAGGGCAATTCGGAGGAGTGGGATCCTGCACTCACACGTTGAAAGTTTGCTTATATTCAGAACCTCTCTCCTCAGATTTTCTGGCCGTTTCCATCACTTTATTCTAGTCAGCAACGTGACTTCTGAGTCCTGCTTTGGTGGCCTGTGTTCTGTGTTGTAAAGATCATTTGAAAAAGAAATTGCTCCATACTGAAGTGCAGAAGACAAAAATTTTAGATGTTTAATTAGGCAGGCAGAAACTAATCGTCTTAAAGGTGGAAATTTTCTTTAAAAGGCAGTTTTGGTGCCTTGGCTGGTATGAAAAGTAGCATGTTACATAGTTCGTAAAAACATTTCCATCAGCTTTTTATTTAAAATGGACATTTGAGAGAAGCTAGCCAGGTAGCTCGGCCCTCCAACGGAGCCAGTTCCTCTTCTGAGTAACACCTGGGATTTTTTTCCTCCACAAATCTCAATAACAATTTTGCATAGGCAATTAAATAGGATGGAGGCCTGTGTCACAAAGTCTATGAAAATAATTTAACTTGATCATTTATGTTCTCTTGTGTCGTAGAGAACAGCACTGGCTCTATTATTTTAAGAAAAAGTCAAGAATATGATAGAGTCTTGATGTTTTCCCACACTGCTCACGATTCCATGAAAACAATTCTTTCTATGTGATGGACAGTTTTGAGAAAGCTCTTACCAGCAAGAGTCATGTACATTTAGTGTGGAGCCTTTGACTACCAGGCCCATAGAATCTGAAAAACAGCAAAGAAAACTGGGCTTGGAAATACAGTCTAGAATAGCTTCTCAAACTCTGAGGGAAAGAATATGTTTCTACTTGGAATTGGAAACCGCATTTATGATGTAAAAAATATAAAATTATTCAAATAAATCCTGGTCCAGTGATATTACTTTGCACTTAAGGTTTTATTGTACACATTTTTAAAAGATCTTAATTATTACAAAAATTTTGTGTGAAGCCACAGCATATGTAAACATTATTAGAGAATCCCCCATTTCTGGTGTGTCCTGTGCAGTGATCCATGTTCCATTGGTTTTTATTTCCCCCAGAGGGGTTAACTTAAAAATTTTAATGCTTTCCATTAACATGATATATATGTTCTTAATAGACTTTCTGGGGTTTATATGGCTTTAGTGAATTAAACTTAGCTAAATTGAAGTAAAGGGATTTAAGACTTGTTAGCCCTACATGATGGTGAACACCTTTAATCCCAGCACTCAGGAGTCAGAGGCCGGTGCATCTCTGTGAGTTCCAGGCCAACCTCGTCTACATAGTGAGTTCCAGGATATCCAGGACTACACAGAGAAACCATGTCTCAAACAAACAAACAAACAAAATCACTAACAAAAAGAAACAAAACACAAACCAAAGCAAGCAAACAAATTGTTAAAAACAAAGTTACGTTGCCCATTGGAATATAACCAAAATCTTAAATCTAACAAGACTTGTAGTCTAGGAAGAATTGCTTAAATTCTAGGGTTTGCATTTGAATGTAAACATTCCAGAACCTTGTCACTTGATTGCTGATGCAATCTGGACTACTTGAAGTGTATTCTTCACTCTGTTATTCTTGCCAGGATCATCACAAGCTTACACCATCACAACCCCTTTTGAGCTTCCGAGGGGCCACATGTCTTTGCATGTATTAAAGGGTTTTTTATTTAAGTTGTTTCTTCTTGACAGTCTCCAAAATTGAAAAATTGCCAAATTGAACCTACTTACAGATGGTTCCTTGGAGCACATAAAGAAGTTTGAGGGCTTGAACTCTATTCTGAAGCCGGATTGGGGATCGCTTCTTCAAACTGACTGGTGTAACCGGTTACTGCTTGACTCTGAAAAGCAGATTAAAATGTGAATAGCAGGTTCTGGTGCATTGTGACTGAGTTCTGAATGCCTGTTTCTGACAAGAAAATGCTATATTAATGAACAGTGCCAAATAAATTGTGCTTATCTATAATTCACTCTTTGAATGTACACTAATTAGCTCTTCCCATCTATGTGATGGTTCTGTTCTTAGAATCAGTGAAATTTTTGTGATGTTTGGGGTGGAAATTTTGGCAACATGCGAACAACTTATACAGCAGGTTTTTATGATTAAGGAATCAAATTTATTGGATTTTTATTAATAAAAGTTGAAACATGTCTGAATGAAAATTCAATAAAAGAATATATTTTCTTCATGGACCATATGAATACTATATTTATTCTAAACAGGACTGTCAAAAGGACTACTACTTTCTTTCTCCCTTCCTTTCTTTCTTTCTTTCTTTCTGAGACAGGACTGGTTTTGTTTTGTTTTGTTTTGTTTTTTGTTTTTTAGCTAATACATATTTTTGGAGTATATTCTCATTTTCACCAGTTATATCTTTGCAGTCTTAGATTGTTTTCTTATTTAAACCAAGAGGGTCTCCCTTGCCTTTGGTAGAACTGTTGTATTCCACGGTAACTAACAGCTGAATTTTCATTTTATCTAGAAATGGTGACTTACACTTTCAAGCCATTTAAGAAAGACTTGGGGGGCTGGAGAGATGGCTCAGAGGTTAGGAGCACTGACTGCTCTTCCAGAGGTCCTGAGTTCAATTCCCAGCACCCACATGGTGGCTCACAACCATCTGTAATGCGATATGGTGCCCTCTTCCGGCCTGCAGGCATACATGCAGGCAGAACATTGTATACATAATAAATAAAATCTTTAAAAAAACTTATTTTTTAAAAAAAGACTTGGACAGTTTTTATGGGCAGGAAATTGAGAGGTAAGAAGTGTGACTTGCCTAAGCACAGAGGGAACTTTCTAACATAAGACTCCGGTGTAGAGGGCTTTGCACAGATTCCATCTAAACCCAGGACCTACCAAAGGTCACACTTTGACTCTGGTTAATGGAAACCTCCTTTAACAAAAGTGACTGTAAGATGGTTTGAAGGAAAACTCAGGGCCTGTGTCAGCAGTTCCCCATGGTTTTAACTGATAGCTGTGAATGGATAAAAGTTATGGAAAAGGAGACTGTGAAAAGGATTTATTGGAGGCTTAAAAACATTCACTATAAATAATGACAATATTTAAGAAAATTAGAGGGTTCAGAGAAAAAAAGCCAAGAGACCTTGATTACATCATGATGACAATCCTTCTAAGATTTCCTTTTATTTCAAAAACTATGTTGGCTGGATAAAAAAGATTCTTTTAGAAAAGAAAGAAAGAAATCAAACAACAAATTCTGGCAAGGTTGTAGAAGGAAGGAGCTTTTACACTGCCAGTGGGAATAAACTAGTGCAACTGCTATGGAAGTCAGCCAGAGGTCTCTCAGAACACTAAATTCGGAACCACCATGTAATTCAGTGGTTTCACTCCTGGGTCTATGTCTTAAGGACTCTAAGTCAGCAACATGCAGAGATATCACACATGTGTGTCCACTTGCAGAACTAGTCACAACAGCCCTGACACACACCTACCAAGAGACGAATGAATAAACACAGTCTGCATCCACAATGAAACCGTGGATAACCACTAAGAAAAATGAGCTTTGGATAAGATGGTGAGCTGGTGAGAGAGAGAGTAGAGAGGAAGCCGAGAGGAAGAGAGTCCTAATACTTCTTATCATACTTTTACTTCCTCTTCCTCTTCTTCTAAATAATCCATGGAGCTTCATTAGCATCGCCAAGGCCAACCTTGTATACATGATGAAGTATACAGTTGAAAACACAATCTGATAAGAAATTACACATGTGAAAATAGACTGTAAGACCTGATGAAATGTGCATTTATTTCAATGTGACCATCTAAGCATGAAATTCCTTTTATTCATCATTCCATTTATTCTTATGTAGACAAGGAAATTTTAAATACTTTTGACGTCATTTCCTAGGCAGATGGAGTTCAACTTGTCACCATGTCCTTTTACTCTTTATGTATTCCTTTGACCGGCAGCAGATGGTCCAGTCCTCACAGTATCTGATGGCATATTCGGTGGTTTCGCATTTCATTCTGCAGTGGCTGTACTCTGAGGAGCACCCGTGACTCTCAAAGAAGATTCCTGCTTCGAAAAGAGAAAACAGACACATTTCACTGTATCACTTATTTGTTATTACATTTTAAAAGATTCATTTTTACTACTTTAAATTTTGTGTGTGTGTGTGTGTGTGTGTGTGTGTGTGTGTCTGTCTGTCTGCCTGTCTGTCTGTCTGTCTGTCTGCCTGCCTGCCTGCCTGCCACATGTGTGTGAATACTAGTGAAGTCCAGAAGAGGATGCTGGATCCCCTGGAGCTGATGTTTCGGGTGGTTGTGAGCCACCTGACATGGGTGCTGAGGATCAAACTTCTATCCTTTGCAAGAGCAGTATCTTAACTGCTGAGCCATCTCTCTAACCTCTTTGTTATTTTTATTTTTAGTATTAAGTTTTGAAATTTTACTTGATATGTGTGAGTGTTTTTGCCTGCACACATATTTGTGTGCCGTGTGCATGCCTGGTGCCCATGGAGGCCAGAAGAACTATCAGGTCCCCTGGAAGTGCAGTTTCTGGGCTGCCGTGTGGGCTCTGAGAATATAAAGCCTGGTCCCGTGCAAGAGCAGCCAGGGCCCTTCACCACTGAGCATCTCTCTAGCCACTTTGATTTGCTATTTTTATTGTTTAAAGTAGTTTATGATTTAAGAACAAAATAAAGAACTTTCCCAGGATGTAAGAAAAACAATATTAAAATGAATGCAAGAGAAAACAAGATGGTGATAAGCACCGACAAAGGATGATTTCTTCTGGAAAGAGCAGGTAGATGAGGCAGGGGCAGAAACATTTACTGTACGTTTGTGCCTATGCTAAAAAAAAAAAAAAAAAAAAAAAAAAATAAAAAAAAAAAAAAAAAAAAAAAGCATAGTTAGTTCCTGAAGCAAAACTATTTCAAACGTGCTCATGCTATTTATGTCATGGGATCAGTCTATGTGCCTGTCCACAGATAAATGGAAACAGACACGGATCAAGCTATAAAGGATAGAAATGTCACTAGCAGGAAAATATAGGGGTCTGAAGAGCATCACATTCATTAAGCAAAACTATCTGGACCAGGAATGTTTCCCTGTTTTCCTTCTGTGGATTTTGAAACAGAACCTCACTATGTATCCTTGAATGGCCTGGTACTTATCATGTAGCCCAGGCTATCTTTGGACTCATGCCAATCCTCCTGGCTCAGCCTGGGAAGTCCTGAGGTTACAGGTATGTGTCATCATGTTTTCTGTCATATGTGGAATCTAGAATAAATGAAAACATCTGAGTAGAATGGAGACTATCAGAGAGGTAAAGAGGCAGGAAGATCTAGGGAGGGAGACACGGAAGGGGAGGATGCTGGGTGCCAGTGGACACCATCAGAAGAACTGGTCCTTCTATCCAGTTTTTAAAATTATTATTATTGTTATTATTATTATTATTATTATTATTATTGGTTTTTTCAAAACAGGGTTTCTCTGTGTAGCCCTGGCTGTCCTAGAACTCACTTTGTAGACTAGCCTGACCTCAAACTCAAGGAGATTCACCTGCCTCTGCCTCCTGAGTGCTGGGATTAAAGGCGTGTACCACTAAGTCCAGCTAACAAATCTTAAATCCCTTTAAACTTCAATTAAGCTAAATTTAATTCACTAAAGCTGTAAAAGACCCAGAATGTCTATTAAGAACTGACTGATCATGAACACCCTCATGTGTACGATGACATATGTTTTAAAATCATTTAAAACTATTGAGGCTGCTCTATCTGTAACTTGACCCTGAAAACAGACAATGTGTCCAATAAAATATTTTAAGACAACAACCTGGAGGGTGGGAGGAAGTATTTACAAACTTACATCTGACAAGGACTTAGTGCTGAAATACACAAAGAACTCACAACTCAATAATAAAGAAAAACTCCAATTAAAAGTGGGAAAAACACTTAAGCATGTAGGGAGAAACCCTGATTAAGAGGTTCCCTCGTGGTCAGTGGTACCCCTAATCGGGGTTTCTCCATACATAAGCAGATGTTTCTTTAAGGCCTACAAATGACCAAAAAGCCAATGAAAAGTTCAGCTATCGTTACTGATAGAGAAATTCAAATGATAACTACGATGGGCTATCACTTCATCTCCAGCATGACTGTAATGAAGAGTAGATGGTGGACAATAGCAGGTGCTGGCTGACCTTGTGCACCACCATGGTAATGTAAGAAGAGCAAACAGCCATGGAGTGCAGTTTGGCAACTCCTCAAAAACACAGAATACCCACAGAACACAAGAGTTTGACTCTCAAGTTTATGTTCAAGAGAACTGAAAAGATGTTCACAAAAAACTCAGGTACAAATGTTCATGGACTCACTATTAATAACCCCAAAGCATAGCAATCAATCCACCAGCTGATACCAAGCATATAAAAGCCATAGAGTATAAGTTTAAAAACCTAAAAATTAGCCAGGCAGTTGCGGTGCATGCCTTTAATCCCAGCACTTGAGAGGCAGAAGCAGGTGGTTCTCCAAGTTCAAGGCCAGCCTGGTCTACAGAGCAAGTTCTAGGACAGCCAGAGTTACATAGAAAAACCCTGTCTCAAAAAATAATTTTAATTATTAATTTTAGTAGACACTTTATTGATATTTTTCAATCTTATGTATATGTATTTTTATATGTGTGTGTGTCTGTGCACCACACACAGGTGGTGTCCATAGAGGAGAGAAGAGGACATAGGATCCCTGGAACAGGAATTGCAGGTGGTTGTGAGTCACCATGTAGGTGCTGGGAATCAAACCCTGGTCCTCTTGAAGAGCAGCCAGTGTTCTTAACCACTGTGTTATGTTCCCACTCCAGTGGAGCAATTTTCAGTAACAGAAGGAATGAAGTGCAGGGATGAAACTTAGAGTGGAAGAAGCCAGACCAAAGGATCATAGGTCATATTCAGGGTCCAGAGTGGGAGAGACTTCCAGGGCATCAGGAGAGGAGGAAGGATGCGAGTATCTTTAGGACACATAGTGGTGATTGCTGCATAACTTCATAAATACACTGCAACTACTTAAGGGCAAACTTAAAAAGAGTGAATTTTATGGTAAATTATGTCTCAATAAAAACATAAAGAAACACTAATGGTCAAGGTCATCTTTAATTGTAGCTAGTAAAATATACTCCATGTAATGTGTGCATTTGAAAAATCAGCAGACAATAATATAAATCCAAGTATATGTTTGTTATATAATACTGGTAGATTTTGAATTTAATTTGGAAAGATTAAATAATTTAGCATGTGGTTAATAAGGCAAAATTGTTATTGGTAAGACCCTGATGCTGACAGTGCCACATGCTTTGGTCACAGGACGTAAAGCATAGAGTTGGAACAGTGATGGCACTTCTTCCTGCTGGCTCACCCTCATAGTGCAAAAAGGTATGCAGGCTTCCAGGGAGGGTTGTCACCAACAGTCTTACTCAGCTGTAAGCTACATGTACAATACAGATTGAGGCCCTTGGTGCAATAGCAGCAAGGCTGCCACACAGACAAACAGCCACTTTCAAATGAGATATGATCCTGATTCACAGGAAGTCCAATCCTGTGAACATATCTGATGATGCAAAGCTGGTCACAGGCCAGTGGCTGGGAGTCATAGGCCCTAGTGGAAGGCTGCTGCTGATTAGCTAATGGACATGACAGATCCATCAATACCCTCTCTAAGTAGCTGTTGTGCCCATAGAACAGTGCTGCTATCAGAGCCCGTCAGAGAAGCTTCTCTCTGCACTGGGCATCAGTGACCACAAAGATGGTCTCATACGAAGAATAAAGGATGGTGTGATACCTGCTGCAAAAGGGACATCTCTATCACCCTCTCAAGGCCCAGGGATGGTAGTAGAAGGGGTCAAGGATTGTGTGTGTATAAGATACTGAATTCTAGGTATGACATGATGATCTCACAGCAACTATGATGACCTGCACAAAACCAGGAGGCCTTCAACATCCTGTCAGGGGGAGGGTAGGGCTACTGGTATACACCCCTTCCTGAGTATGCTCAGCTAATAGTTGATGGGGGAGGGAGAAACATTTTCTTCAGTGGTATAACCACTGGTAATTTGCTCATGTTCCTGCAAACAAACTCCCAGACAAGCTCCTATAAACAAGTCTAATGAGACTCACTGGAACACACACACACACACACACACACACACACACACACACACACACACACACAAGGAAGAGAAAAAGACAAGACAGAAACAACTACAACAACAACATGCATAAATGGAGACCACTATAGAAAAGCACAACCAGTCAAAATGCAGAGTTGTGGAGCCCAGTCTCAAGGGACACATCTACAAAACACTTCTGAAGCTCAGAAAACATAGTGGGAGGGGTGGAGCAGGGGGTTTGCTGTGAGATTGAGTCTCCTAGTAATGTCAGAAGTACACACATAAAGTCTCACTAACATGACTGCCTAAACATGAACTGAGCAACGACATGACAATAATAATAGACATGCTAATGTATAAGGGAGAATGCTCAGGAGAGATCTCAACCCTACACAAAGAATTACAGGCAACTAAGAGATGCTGAGAGTAGGAGAAATGGTCTTCCTCAGGGGAGAGCACATCAGTTGGTTATCCAATACCAAATGGTCGGCTCTGAAAACATACATAGGAGTGACATTATACAGACCGAGCAGGTTAGATTATGCATGCAATAACAACTAATGCTTAAAAGGCATGAATTTGAAAGAGACCAAAGGAGGGGCCATGGGAGAGTTTGAGGGAGGAGAAGGAAGGGGGAAGTAATTATATTATTATCTAAAACAAAACAAAACAAAAACCCCAAATGCACAAACAAACCAACCCAAGGAAACCCACCATATCCTCCCACCCCAAAAATGACCTGAGGGTGGAGGTAGAAGAAGGCCAGTTGGGAAGAAGAAAGGGATTGGGGGAAGGGGATTGGGGGAACTGAATGCCATCAAAATATGTCATATACAAGTATGAAAATGTCACAGTGAAACTAATTATCATGTATAATTAATATATGCTAATAAAGATTAAAATGAATTCAGATAGAACCTTCACTCCCACTTTATGTAAGTCCACACAGACTAAGCAAAAACACCCGCCTTTCAACCAGTTCTAAAGAAATACATGACACAGTCCTTTGTCTGGTGCTGATAGCATTCTGTGAACCCAGGACAATGGAGGACGTGCCTCTTTGGCTCTCTCTTACCTTTTGTTTGGGAGGTTGGTTTTTCAAGACAAGGTTTCTCTGTGTAGCTCTGACTGTCCTGGAACTCACTCTGTAGATCAGACTGAACTCAGAGATTCTCCTGCCTCTGCCTCCTAAATTCTGGGGTTAAAGGCATGTGCCACCACCACCTGGCTTCCCACCTTCTTCTAATTGCCTGCTTTCCTTTTCTTATTTTGCCAAATTTCTTACACACCACATAGTCTCTTTCACCTCTATCGTCATACGCCCAGAATGAGAAGCTTTTGTCTTACCCAGAGAAACAATGAACAGCAAGGTGAAGACTCCCAGGGTTGAGAGTTGGACCCTCATAACTGAGGAGGAAGGCTAGTGAGAGTCAGAGGCCAGGATGAGGAGTGCCTGCATTTGGCCCTGGAGTGGTGAGCTGCTGCATGGTTATTGAACCTTTCAGTAGCAAGAACATTTCTGGGTTTCAATGAGGCTTTGTCCCAGGAGGCAACATGCAACGGACAGGACCATAATTCACTTTAAGCACCTTTATCAAATGCTGACTGGGTGTGAGCACAGATGATAAACACAAAGTGGGGAGAGAAGGAACAGTCCTGGAGAAGGTGGGGGATCTGCAACTAACTATCTGTGTCGCCTCATAGTTTCTGGAGCTGTTTAAGTTAAGCCCCCACTTACCAAGAGAAGCTATTCAGCTCATTCCCTGGTGATGGAAAGAAACCCTTGATGTGACATTGTGCTGATTTGCCAGTGTTTTAGAGAATAGACATTCAGATTTTAAACCATTCATAGGATAGTGAGATGTGGAGGGAAAACTTTGGTTATTTTTTCTGAGTTAACTGAATGAGATCAACTAACTTCTATACTGCAAGTCTTTTTTATGTTTTGTTTTGTTTCTCTGTATGGCTTTGTAAGCCAGGCTGGCCTTGAGCTCACAGAGATCCGCCTGCCTCTGCCTCCCGAGTTCTGGGATTAAAGGTGTGAGCCACAACCTCTGGCTTATACTGCAAGCCTTAGTGAACACTAATCATTCACACTTCCCAGTTGTGAAGTAATGTAGGAAAAATGGAGATGTTATAAAGCACACAAAGGCACAGAACACAAAAGTAATGGAATGACAACATGATTTTATTTCTGACAGTAGCATGACTTACCTGTGGGGCTCTGATGAGGCAAATATAGTGAATACCAGAGTAGTCTGATAGGCCTAGGGTAGCTTTACAGGAGGCAGAAACACCCCAACTTGAGAAACTATGATGTATGCCCATATCCTTGATACTGATCTTTATAACTTTAAATTAAACTGTGTGTGTCTATGTACAAGAATGTGAATATCAGTGTAGGTGCCTGAAGAGGCCAGAAGAGGGTGACAGATCCCCTGGAACTGGAGTTACAGGCAGTTGTGAGCAAACAGATGTGGTGCTGGAAACTGAAGTCAAGTGCTCAACTATTGAGATGTTGCTCCAGCCCCAGGATCTTCATTGCTTTCCAGATGTATTCATTCCAAGTTAGGGAACTTTTCCTCACTAAAATGGGAGTTCTTTTCCTGCCAACACTCACTAGAGTGCTCATTCTATTTTGGGCTTTCAGTGAATAGAACATGTAGTTAATTTATGCATGCAGGTTTGTCCTGAAGGTTGAGACATTGGAGATGCCATTGTCAGGTGGATGGATTAACAGAGACCAGGGGACGTGACTGGAGGTCCTTAGAGAGAATGCACACATTCTAGACTAAGAGGGCAAATGAGAGGAAGGAACTCTCTAGGGGTGTCTGTCTCTAAACCCAGGTTCAGGGTCTTCTTCCTTGTAAGTTCCCAAAACAGAGGTATATGGGCTCCTACTTCTCCAGGGTTCTAGAAGGTCCTTGGGGGTATGTGATACTTGATAACTCTTGCACCCACTAAGCTCAGTTTGGCTTGAGTTTTGACCATCTTTGGTCATAAGTCACAAATATACTGAATTTTGACTCCTATCTGCAAACCCTTGGCTTCTTGAAGCACAGTTTATGTGGTAAAGTGATAAAATTTATGAGAAGAAATGGAAGTCCTTTATGGAACACGGAAAGCAGAGATTTTAGGGGCTTTTTGACATTTTCGATCAATCAATATGTATTTCCCTGTGAGATAGATTTGTAATGATATGGTGCTGCCTGGAGGCCCAGGAACACTGTGTGATGCCCAGCTGCTGACTTCCATCATAGACATCAAAGGACTAATTCCACTCTACTCAGGCTATAGGCTGGTGAACACCAGGGCATTGCCAGATCACCCGAGGCCTCTGTGGGGACAGGTAGAATGCATTGACAATGCCTCTCCTCAAAGGTCAAAGAGCCATCAGCCATCAGGTACAGATTGTTACGGCAGAAAAAAGAAGATAACTTATTATCAGATAGCAAATTTGGCCTAGGATCATGGGTTTTATTGAGTGCAGCTTGTCAGAAAGTCACTAGATAGGATTCCCACAAGAAGACTAAGCTACATGTCACATATACACAGAGGGCCTAGGTCAGTCCAATGTAGCCTCCCTGGTTAGTAGTTCAGTCTCTGTGAGTTCCAATGTGCCCAGGTTAGTTTATTCTGTGGGCTTTCTTGTGGATGGATTGGGACACCAACCCAGCCACATAACCTTCAACCTACAGTTTGTCCATCTGTGGGGTGTGCTGGGGTAAGGGTGATGCAGAGATTGTGGGAGTGACCTCTGCTTACTGGCTTGCTCATGGCTTACTCAGTTAGCTTTCTTGGAGAACCCAGGACCTTCTGCCCAGGGGTTGCACCAATCACAATGGTCTGGGCCCTCCCAATCAATCATTCATCAAGAAAATACCCCCACAGGCTTGCCTAAAGGTCAGTCTTAGAGAGATATTTCCCCAGATATGTCTAGATTTGTGTTAAGTTGGCAAAAACCAACCAGAACATATTTCATGTACCAGACTCAGTGCACAGAGTATACTAGGGCATCCTTGTGTTTCAAAATTGTGCATATACACAGGAACGTTGAGACTTTGTCAGTGAATGAAGACATGTCATTTTTCCAGTATGTCTTCACTTGTGGAAGATAAGAAGGTTTCAGCTCATTGGGTGGCCATTGGTGGTGAAAATTTATCCTGTCTTCTTTCTGACTTTGTTAATAGACCTCATGTGTCTGTCGGTCATGACTTTTAAAACTGCTTAGTTCTAAATGGAGGAGTACCTAATCCCTGATCACAGTGGTATGCATGCATATATTTCACTTTGCCTTATTTACGATCTATCTGATTTGTTCACAATTGTTTTATCTGTGCAACATTGCTATTATACAAAACAATGTGTATTTGCCTTAAGAATTTTACTGTACATACTAGCCTGTAAGATGGTCTGTTATATTTTAATGTTTCACAGGTAAATTACCCTCTTATGTTATTAGATGTATTGTAAGGAAATTTTAAAGTTATTTTCTCCCATAATCATACTTTAGGAAAGTTTTTTTTTATCTTTTGTGATAGACACAAAGAGATGTAATCTTTGGGGGATTTTAAGAACTTGGATTCTGGCATTTGAGGTTTTATTTTGGGGAAAGGCATAGGGATTACAGCCTAGTTCTCAGGTGTAGTGTCGGCAAGTTCACATGATTGACAGGGTCTTGCCCATATGCTCCAAGTAGATCTCATCAGCAGTAAAAATTATATTTATATTTAGTGGTTCTAGCCAGGGCTAGTCAAGCACTCTGTTTCTGAGCTACACTCCCAACCCAGAAAAAAAAAAAAAAACTATGCTGTCAGAAGCAAATGAGAGAAAGTGTTTATATTCCAGTGAAGACAATCAAACATTATGTACTTCATATCCATTACTTTATATGTTTAAAGTTTTATCTTGATCTTTTTTGTTGGACATGCATTTTGCTTAAATATTTTCAAGGTGTGGTGTTCTCATACATTTTCTTCTAGTTATTATTATTATTGTCATTATTACTATCTAGAGAGGAGAGTATTGTTATGGCAAATCCCAAATAATTTGTCAACCCTATTTAAAAAATAACGTAGTTGGACATTGAACAGAGATATTCTAGTACATTCTGAAGCAGTAAGGGGATTTCCCCTCTTAGTTCCTTTTATTAACTTCTGGAAGATTTTTAAGAGGCTTACAGAGACCAGTAAGTATGGACTCAGGACATTTATTTCCAGGCAAGGGAGAAGGTGAGTGTAGTTAAGCAGAAGTCTGCAAAGCTTGTCCATGCTTTCCGGAGTTCGAAGCACTTACAGTTTCCTCCCCTCTAAGGAGACTTTCCTTTGGGAACGGGTGTTGGGTAAGGAAAAAACACCCACCATTTCCTGCAACATTTTTTCTCGTCGTTACATTCGCCAATGGTATCATCTGTGGATGTGCATGCTATGTCTTTGCACCTTCCTTTCAACAAAATGCATTGCTTTTCCCCTGGAACAACACCAGCCTTTCCTGCACAGGAAGAAATTGGACAACACTGTTAGTTCACTTTCAAAGTACTGTAAATGTGTGTGAAGCCAGTGCCCAGAAGGTGGTTTGGAATGGGAGACACGATGTTGTCTACACAGACAGATCATATGCTTATACAGAAATAGCAGGTTTTTTAGGGAGAGGGGTTAAGGGTTTGGGATTACACACACCTTGGAGTGAGCAGGATAACTGGTGGGAATTTAGAGATACGGTCCTCACCCTGGGCGGTACATTTTGAGTGCATAGACGTGTTTACTATTACCATTATGGGGAAGGTGTCTTTGGAACTCTCATGGATAAGCAATGTCTTGTTCAGTTTCCTCTCTAGTGAATCACCCTAAGCTGAAGACTTCAATACCTCCACCAGTTTCCACAGCACACTTATCAGATGCGTATGCTCTCATCTCCAGCCTGCTTTGTAGAAAATCAGCCCTCCCTTCTACTTCCATCTCAGCTCCCCCTTCGGAACTGTGTAAGAAACATGTTTATTGAGTTTACTCCATGCCTTTTGCATATACATGCGTGGAGGGACTCCTCAGCACTGAAAGTTTTCCTCAAGTATATATACACATTTTTTTTTTTTTTTTTTTTTGGTTTTTCGAGACAGGGTTTCTCTGTAGCTTTGGAGGCTGACCTTGAACTCACAGAGATCCACCTGCTTCTGCCTCCTGAGTGCTGGGATTAAAGGTGTGCACCACCACCATGTTTTCTTAATTCATTTGGCTTTTGAGAAGCACATAGCTGAGGCTACATGTCGGTGCCCTTTGACTTGCCTTTCCAGCATCACAAAGGTTCATTCTTTCCACTGATGATGACAGGGTTGTTACATGAAAGACACATGTCTGCTTATGGTTCCTAGTAAAAGTTGATTCAGCGGTTTCAAAAACAAAGCACACAGAAGCTAAGGGCGTGGGGTTCAGGTTCCGTGAAGATGACCTTTGGCCCTGGCCCTGACTTGTTTCCCTACCAGCGTGTCTCCCCCCCCTCCTCGTTGTGCACTCACTCAGCTGTCCCTGTAGACACCCACACTCTACTCTCCACCTTCCGTTCTGCAGCGGCTGCAGCATCTCTAGGCCTGTTGCTATAGTGCCCACCCGAATGTCAATAAACAGCGGCTGAAGCAAAAATAAAAACATAAAAATAAAAACAGAGCACACAACACTGAGAGAGAAAAGTGGTGGGGGAATAGAGGAAGAATTGGAGGGGAGGGGTTAGGGAGTGGTTTCATCAGAACACATTATATGCATGCATGAAGTTCTCAAACAATAAAAAGAATTAAAAAAAAAAAACACAATCAAAGTAAGGTACTTTGATCTTTTCCTGGGTCTTTGACATCCTGGGTTCACAAGAGACCTGGCTGTGTTAAGTGCTCCCCAAATGAGGAACTGCATGACTTTGGTTTACTGTATCCTCATAGTGCAACCCATTTGGGAAGAGCAAAGGAGGGCTGATATTGAGGGGTCAGGGATCCTGACTTGCAATATAGGTCCCTGAGTTTCCGGTCAACACTGCAGGAGGCTACCTCTCCCTTCCTCCTAAACAGCCTTTCAGTACTCTCTTTATTACAATATGAACCCTGAGATCCAGCTTCTTCACATTTTTAAGAGCTATGGTCAGGACATTTTAGAATTCATCTATAAAATTTACTCATCAAATTCAACTCAATTTTTAGATCAAACTCCTTAGTCCTCTTCCCCTCACCTTCCAGCTCTCATAGCCACCATAGTAGTGTCTGTTCCAAGTTGATTATTTTAGGTCTCTGGTTTATTCCACATAGTTTAGTAACCTCTGGATTCTTTAATGTTGTCACACCTGGCAAAAAAATCACCCTAGTCTCCTCAATATTCAGTTAGGAGACCTTGAGGCAAAAGTCTGGCAGAAATCAGTTGCCATTTTTATGTCTGTGTGTGTCGGTGGAAACAACAATGACCCGGAGGAAGAGAAACTTGGTTCAGTGTTGTGACATGTATGATCTTAGTGAAAAGATATTCTCCATGTGAGCATGGCTTCTGTTATCTAAAGTGAAATATATGATTGCTAAAGTGACATCCATGTTCAAATAATCACCATCATACTTTATATGTTCCTGGGAGTCTGTCCACCTCAGCGATGTTTTGTGACTAGGACTGAGAAGTGAACCGAGGATGGTGTCAACTCCTCTGAGAGTGCTGCTATGTGCCAGGTACATGTGAAGATATTCATAAATTAGGCCAAAGTCCACAAGTGAGAGGCTTTGGCTGTCCTATAAAAGGTTCTTAGTGATGAGCCAAGCAGGGCTCTCTCTTAGTGAGGACGGAGAGATGTGAGCATCCTGCTGGTGGTAGACAGTGCTGTTACTTCTCTTCAGAGAACTGATCCCTTAGCCACGCTCAGCAAGCCCCCCTTTCTTCCAAAAAGTAGTAGGGGTTCAGACCACTGCTCCCTTAGCCACGCTCAGCAAGCCCCCCTTTCTTCCAAAAAGTAGTAGGGAACGAGTTCTGTAAGTTCTTACCAGGCTCTGCATGAAGCACCCAGAAGAGGTCTGGAGTGGCTTTAATTTTGATTCTGAATTCTAACATTCAAACTTGTGAATTGCAGGTTTCAAGGATGCAACCAGATTCTTACATCCTTCCTATCATCTTCCAACTAGCATCTTTTAAAATTGATGCTTCCCATTGTCTTCATTTCCCCCATAATTCCTCTGCTCCTGAGTTTTCTTATTTGTTTCTAGTGTTTACATACACGTCTAACCAACAGACTCTGTATGTCTCTATCCACTCCTCAAGATGAATTAATCTCCACACTCCTTTAGAGACTGGGGTGGTAGCCATTTTTTAAAGTATATTGTCTTAAGTTTTATGTCAAGTAGTTTCTTGGCCTCTGTTTTTCTACTTGGGCTTTTCCCTCACAGTGGTGGGGTTCTTGGGCCCCATTTTGTGTTGGTAGGACTCCTTTCTGAATTTGGACCTCATCAGTTCTGAAGATGTTGGATTTTGGGATACTCAAGTCTGTGTACTGACATCTGAGTTATGAGGGACACGGTATAATTGTGCACCTCTGTAGACCTCCTGAGAAGCCCTGTTCCTGTTGCCATTTCCCAGCTTACCTTTCGGCATTATCATCACAAGGAGGAGGAAGACAGGCAGGCAGGAATGGGACCTCATGGTTGAGTGGCCAGCAGTGTGGAAGACTGTTGGTGATGGAGAAGCACGGGGCTTTTATTCATTTCTGGGGGCCTGAGGTTCTTTCTGGTCAGTGAAGCTTGACACACAAAGAAGAAAAACTGCTTTTGTTGGAATATTTCCAAGCCTTAGAGTTTCTAAATTTGGTAACAAATTAACCTAAAAATGGAATACCAGATGGTTAGTCTTTTCTTCTGCTATGGACTCTCAATTTCACCAGAGGTCAGTATCTTCAGCCAATTCTCTTTTTGGAAAACACAATTCATGATTAAGTTTTTTACATGACATATAATGTTCCTGCCTGTGTGTGGAGGGCAATGTTGTAATCAGCTGTACATACACAGCAGGTAATGGTCAAATTAGGACAATTAGCAACTGCCTTCCTGCAAACATGATCAAACACTTCTCCCCTAATGTTTTGAACTGTCTAATTAAACATTGTGTATTTTTTTCTAATAGCCCACTGTGTTCCCTTTGTGCTGCCTGAATACTTACCATTTGAGGTTACGCACAGGATTGTGGTCCACCTAGCAGGAACCACACCTTTAAAGAAAACAAACTTGCCCTCCCCTCAGAAGTTATCAACTGTCCACAGCTCCTCAGTTAGGGTGGGGCACACATGAACCCCTTCCCACTTTGTGCTGGAAAGTTGACTGGCATGATCCCCTGCAGGTCTTATGCAGGCAGATCACAGCTGCCATGAGCTCATGAGGACACTTCCTGTCGTGTCCCGAAGACATGGTTTTGCCTTGCTCACCCCTGGCCTCTGGTTCTTAGACATTTCCTTCCTTTCTTCTGCAATGATTCCTGAGTCTTGGTATGTGGTGTGTGTGTGTGTGTGTGTGTGTGTGTGTGTGTGTGGGTGTGTGTGTGAGAGAGAAAGAGGGGGGGAGGGAGAGAGAATTGCTCCCCAATTCTGGGCTAGGATATGTCTGCCCATTTGGACCTGAGCACTCTACTCACACTTACTCTGCAATTTGGCCAGCTGTGAATTTCTGTGTTAGGCACTGTCCACTGCACAAAATCTTCTCTAATGAAGTCCAAGATTTTCTCTAACTTACAGGTAGAAAGATACATATTTAGAGGACAATATGATTTCTTTGTATTTTCATCAAATTATAGCAGTAGGTTTACTCCCGGGGCCTATGGGCTCCTCAATTATGGGTCCTTGGTTAGATATACACACTAGGCATGCATTTCCTTCCTAGGAGGTGGCTTTAAATCTGAGCAGAACAACCTAGAATCTTTTTTTTTTTTTTTTTTTTTTTGAGACAGGGTTTCTCTGTGTAATGGTCTGACTGTCCTGGAACTCTCTTTGTAGACCAGGCTGGCCATGAACTCACATCCACCTGTCTCTGCCTCCCAAGTGCTGGGATTAAAGGCATGTGCCACCACCCTTGGCCTTATAATGTTCTTGACACTATTATACCTATGGGCATATCTTGCAAAAAAAAAAGAAAGAAAAAGGAAAAAATAGAAGACACAAAGTTGGAAGTTGGGGTAAGGAGAGGAGCGGTGGGAGGAGAGGTAGATTTGGGGAGGAGTCAGGAGGAGGAGGAGGGGTGAACATGGTTAAAATACATTGGACACATGTTTGACCTTCTCAAAAATATATTAAAAGGACTGCATGCTGTATAATGTTAGAAATTCTTCCCCTCACTGGTATCGTCTTGGCACCTACTCTCCACTGTCTTACTCCTTGACATCCCCCTGCTCTAGCTGAACCTCCATTGATGGCTAGTCTACTCTCTTCTCACTAGAGAGTTGCCAGGTTGGGAGAGTGTCTACATCATGGAGAGAACAATGCAGAGAGGAACCGTGTGGTGTTTGCCTTCCTGTGGCTGGCTTCACAGAACATTCTAATTAATCTCCAGCTCCCCCTACATTCCTGACAATGGTAGAATGTTGTCCCTTTTAAATGATGGGACAGTATTTTATTGTATTCACAGTATGGTTATCACATTTTCTTCTTCCCTCCGAAGTCGGGTGTTAGGTGTGTTCTGTTCCTTTGCTAATGAGAATCGTGTTGCAGTAAACATTGGAGTGCAGACAGATGGCCCTTGAAATTAAGATTGCATTTCTGTCTAGCTGTGCCACTGCTGGAGCCTGTGGTTCTGTTTGCAACTCTGAGCGGCCTCCACTCTGCCCCTTTCTTGGCTGTACTAGTTTCCATCCCCATTGGCACTGTGTGAGTCATTTCACCTCACAACCTCATTGGCTTTTGCAAGTTTTTTCTTTTTGATAATAGCCATCTCAACTGGGGTGAGCTCACCTTACTGTGAGCACAATTTTCTGGGCACTTACAATTTTTCCGTATTCTTCTTGGCTATTTCTGTGCTCTCTTTTGAGAAAGGTCTGGTCAAATGATTTTCCCTTTTTTCAAAAAAAAACAAAACAAAACAGATTTTCTTGCCATATATTGAGTCCCCTATGTATTCCGAGTATTACTTCCTCATCAGATAAATGGTGTGCAAACATTTTGTTCCATTCATCAGTTTGTCCCTTAATTCTGCCGATTGTTTCCTTTCATGCAAAGATGCTTTATAGTTCGATATTATTCCATTTGTATAGTTTCACTTGTTGCCTTTGCTTTTGGGGTGTGATTTAAAAAAAAAAAAAGTTGTCTACCCAACTTGTTAAATTCTCCACCATCCTCTTGTAGTAGTTTATTGTCTCTGGGCTAACATTTAGGTTGTTGGTCCATCTTCAGTGAGAATGGAGATCATATCCATCCATCCATGTGTATATGAGTCATCGCTCCCTGGCACCGCTCTGCAAAAGGTTATCTCTGCTCCACTACTTTACTGAGAATCAGTCTGCTGGAGATGCATGAGGTTGTTTCTGAACGCTGTGTGCTATTGCCTGCATATCTGTTTCTTTGGAGATACCATGCTGCTTATTTTCCCTTTGATGATAACATGTCCTGATTCTTTGGGTTCACCATGTTTGGAGACTTAGATTTGCTGTACCTAGTTGCTCATATCTTTCCCTAGATTTGGGACATCTCATTCTTTTGTTTGTTCAATCATTCATTAATTTTAAAGAAGATTTACTTATTTTTATTATACAGGGAAGGGTGTTTTGCCTGTGTGTCTGTGAACCACATGTATGCCTGTTGCCTGTGGAGGTCAGAAGGCTCCAGAACTCCTGGGACTGGTGTTAAAGATGGTAATCTACTTTATTGAGTTAACTTTACAACAAAACACAAAAAGCAAAAGACACCCCTCTCAAGAAATTTAAAAAAAATCATAATCCTCTGATCTTTTAAGAGTTCAAATGTTTTGATTATTTGAAGATTTTGAGTTGCCCATATGGAACACTTAAAACATTCTTTTGGCCAAATCAGACATAGAAGAATAAAATCTAGTTTAAATGCCTTTAAATACTATCTATTTACCCATTTATATTTACATATATTAATTATACGAATTAAGGTTTTTCAAACACATACATCATGCTAATATGTCCTTTAACTATTTCAAGTCCACACCCACCCACCAAGCAGAGTTTGTAACTTCATACCCTAAAGAAAACTCTACCAAAGAGATCTACAGCTGTGTCTGAGTCACATAATATGGAGACATATGGAAAGCTACTCAATGTATCACATGAACGTGTTATCTAGTTTGACAAGGAGAAACTGTGAGAAGAATTAAAGGGACAAATCATTTAACCTTAACTCAGGGAGATAATCTTGGATTAAGCAGGAGGAGCAAATGCAGCCACTTTTACTGGGTGGTGGTGTATGCCTTTAATTCTAGCACTCAGGAGGCAGAGGGGGTGAATCTCTGTGATTTCGAGGCCAGCCTGGTCTACAAAGCTACACAGAGAAACCCTGTCTTGAAAAAATCAAAATAAATAAATAAAATAAAAAATAAAATGTAAATTGGGAAATAATTTTAAGGGTATAGTGTATTTCTTTCTAAAGCCAATGGTCCTTATAAGTGTTGGGTTGCAGGTAGAAGTCAATTGAAATCAGAATTAATTGATTCTTGGACTTTGCATCTCTTCATTAGCCAATTACTATAAATACAGGTTCCCTTCCTATTGGGCTGTCACATAGTAGCAAGCTTGTTCACCCTAGCTTAGAAGACTGAGGAGGTGGATGACCACAGTGCTGAATCACTGAGCATCTCTCCATCTCAGCATCTCTTGCTTCCGACCATGACTGTGTCCTCATCTGACCTCACTTCTGTAATGATAATGAATTGCTCAAGGGCAGGAATCTCGGAACACTCAGTACACCCTAGAGCCAGGCTCAAGTCTTGGCATACAGAGGGAATTCAGGAAATGGCTGTGGAGCAATGGCTTGACTTGCAGTCAACTTCTGTGGCAAATAGTTAAAGGAATTTACTGTTCCCTTCAGTCCATATGCTTTATGCTATTTAGCTGTACAGCTGAATACACTGACCATTACGTCCTTAAATTACAAAACTTCATTATGTTACATGCCATATGGACTCATAAGAATTGAAGTAACATTAGGTGCTTCGGTCAAATGATTTCTTTGCTACTAAACCTTGTCCATTTCATTGTGTGGACCCCTGTCACTTCTATCCATTTGGAATGCAAATGGAATCTAGACTCAGAACAAACCCACAGATCATCCTCCCAAAGCACTGGTAGAAGAGGAAGTGAGACTGAAGAAAAGGACTAGATTATCTAGTGACCTAGTGTTGGAGGTGATGGGGACAGAGTTGCAATTTATGTCCCCAGCCTTATTCTATCTCCCTGTCTGCTTTCTCTCTCTTCCTCTCTCCTAACCTTACCTCCCAAAGCTGCAGTTGGACTGAAAGTGTCTACCTGAGGACTGTAGGAGAGGACCTGTCTTCCTATGGCTTCTTTAACATTGACCCCATTCCATTTTGGTGACAAGAAATGGGTATTCCTCTGCTCATTTTATGACATCACCTGTCCTCTATTTTGCTTGAATGGAAATGAGTAAATGATTAAGTGTGTGTGTGTGTGTGTGTGTGTGTGTGTGTGTGTGTAGCATAGCTCAGTTACTAGATTGCTTGCCTAGCATGCTAGAAGA